GCTGACCTTAAGGTTCACAGCCCAATTCGTAACCACTACGCTACCAGAACCAGAGGCAAAAAGGAAGAAAACAGAAAACAAAGAGACACTGAGGAAATAAAAGAAACTGGACTGGAGTTTCAGCCAGTCAGATTAAAAAAAACTTCATTAAGACCCCATTAATACTTTAAACATCCAGCAGAAGTACTAGAATGGCTACGACTTAGGAAGAAGGACTTTCAGAAACAAAGACTAAAACTAAGATCTGAAGAGGTATTTTACAGTTTGGAGGCTGACAACAACAAAGTTAGAGAGGCTTGGGGAACAGTTCAAACTTTCCACAAGCTAGCCCAAGGAATACGTTAAAGGAATCTACAAGACAAAGGTGATCGGCCCATAATTTAATGGTCTATTGGAACAAAATCAATACTCTTCAGAGGAAGACAACAGAACAAGGAATCTTTCATTCACAAAGTCAAATACGTAATTTAAAAATAATTAACACTAGACTTCGAGCAAGATGGCAGACTAAGCAGATGCATTACATGGATCCTCTACAACAAAAATACAAGAGACCAAAGTTTAAAAAACATGAAATTTTGACTCCTTGACCTTCAGAAGAAAGGTTATAGAGGTGGATGTTGTGCCTGCTGGGAGAAGCGGCCAAGCAGGAGAGTAACAGAGGGCCAGATAAGGCTTGACCATCTTATGAGAAGCTCTGGGAGTGGAGGAAGACATGGCAGAGCAGATTCATACAGATTACGGGAAAAGTGCAATTTCTTTTTTTCCCTGATGCTTCCCTGGTGACCAGAAGTGTGGACAGCTACCACCCTCATCGACCCCCAGCCCAAACGCAGTATTCTGGGAGTTCAGAACCACAGGGTTGGTAGTCATGTTAGTGTGAGTTATGAGTTGGCTGCACCATTTGGGTGTACCTCTTGAGTACTGGGATTCAGGAGGAACCCACCAGCAATTTCTTTCCTCTGAGTCCAAAAATTGCACTGTTTGTTTTTACAAATACGACAACCCCACAAGGTCAGCAGACAATTTTAACTCACACAAAGAAACAAGAGACAATGGCACAATCGATTGACCAAGAAACACACAGAAAACATTTATGAGAAAAATAAGGGAGTAGAATTAACTTAAAAATAACTCAAAAGAGAGAGAACAAACAAGATGGCGGATCGGGTGGAAGTGCAGTAAAGGAGCTACAACAACAACAACACAGAATACCCAACCAAGCAGGCTCAGAGGACGGTCCCAGAACTTTGAACCACATATAAAAGAATATTTAGAAGGTTGGAAGGCTCATAGCTGGTGGAATTTGTGGCAGAAGCAAGAAATCTATTGCTTTCTAGTCCGGGACGCTCAGCTGCTCCAGGAGCTGCCATCTTGGGTGAGACCACGTGGGGG